AAAATAATATTTAAACGCAGTGTTTCTTTTGATTGTGACAGACACAGCCTTGCTTCTCTGCGCAGCAGATAGTTATAAAAATCTTTATTCCAATGATAGCCAACCTTTTCATACCTACCATTCACTTTTTCATACCTACCATTCACTTTTTCACCACAATTGCTAGTAAAATATTCTTAGCACTCACTTTTGATTAAACAATTTATAAAGTTACAGAAAATCAAAGCATACAAATGCAATATTTTACTTGAAAAATTTGGTTTTTCTAGTGTACTAAAATATTGCATTTAAATGTTTAGAAAAAGGTGTACGACTGGATTTTTTATTTAGTCGTACACCTTTAAGTTCAAAATATCTTAAAATCGCCTTTTTATGTGAGATTTAAATTCATTAAGGTGGCTACTGAATTTTTCAATATCCACTGGAGTTACTTTCTCTTTTATAAATAATGACACATTGCTTTAGTAACTAATAATGACAATTGAATTGAATAAATTTTATTTATTGATACAATAGTGTCAATAAATAATGACACATTACTTAAACTAATAAGAGTTATATTTGATAAAATTGTTTGATACTATCATATAAAGGTACAAAATGATTTTAACATGTACCCTTTGACAGCCACCGAACTGTGTGCAAAAGCAATCTTATAAAATCTTCATTATCATTTTGACATTAGATTTGATTTTCATCTCGAATTACTATACTTAATGAATGAAGACTTTCAACAAAAATTTTTCCAACAAGATGTTATCTGTGTACCACTCAATGAACATATGAAATATTTGGTACTTCAGTCTTCAAAAATGCAACAAATCCACGATAGCGACCTACCATTGCTGGTGCTTCATCGGTAGCGCAAGCAACAATGTTTATTCAATAATTATTCAACAATATTCATGACAATAATTATTTAAAGGGTTATCATTTTTTGTAAAGTATAATTTCACAGTAGTAAATATGGATAATCCAGTTGTATCCGTATTATAAGTATTATTTATAAGTATTTATTTCGAATAGCATTTCTTTATATAATATATTATTTTCATCATAATAACGTACAATTGACATCAATAAAACATTGTCATGGTAAACTCATTGTCATGGTAAACTCATTGTCATGGTAAACTCATTCAATTGCATGAAAAATTAAGAGCATTAATCAGTTTATTTTACACGTTGCCATTGTTTCAATTCTACGCTTTACTGCAGTGACGCTTAATATCAATGTTTTTGTAGTTTTTATAGTTTTTAAGGCTCGGGGTATATCTTGATGCATTACTGTGGTGATAAATTCATTTGATAGTGCTTTAAACATAATGGTTTTTTTTTATTTATGATGCTTTCGATGAAACTTAACTTCAAATATTCCAATGAATAGCCAAAAGCGTATTTCTTTTTTTTGGGAAACTTTGAAAATTTTTCACTATTTTTCTCTATTTTTCTCTAAAATGCAAATGTTAACACGATTTGACTTGTTTCTTATTTAGAAGTCTAACTATGTACTGACAAGAGATTGTAAATTACGAGTATTTTTTAAATATCGGTGATTCAGTATTGAAACATTTTTAAGATAACACATGTGGTTTTTATTTATTGTTGTTCTCATCACTACTGCAATTATATGAAAGCAACCATTATTTTTTTTTTAAGGTGGTAGTATCGTCAGAAATTTCAAATTTTTTGATTTTTTGAATATAACTTTTCCTGGCATTTTCATTCATGCTGAAAACGACGGAACTATTATTTTTTCAATATAATCTATATAAAGCCTTCTATTTTTCATTTTAAAAAAGGTACTATGAATTATTGCTCCTTAGCAACTCCATAGCAACAAAAGTAAACATATATTGGTTCTAATTGAGCTGCCTTAAACAAGTATTTTCTTCAGTAAGTGTTTAGAAAATACTAAGTGATATTTGGCTTCTTTTTTTGCCTTAAAAATTAATAAACCAGCATTTATAATCACTTTATTTCTTGGCGTGATTGTAAAGTGGCTTTAAAGCAAATATTATTTCAGTTATTAATGTTGAATATAGCCTGAGTTTAATTGCTTAGTATTGTTATTTTTAGTTATTTAGTGTATATTAAAATAAATAAATTACTTCTAATCGTTAAAATGAAAACTGATGCTTTGAGGAGAAGAAGTATTGGTGCTTCCAGAGTTTTTTAAAAAAAAAAGAAGAACTTCAAGAGCATCAAGTTCGTCTATTTTTCCCCAAACTGAAAATACTTTTGCAAGCAGAGAATTGCCATTAATTGAGAGTAATGATTTAAGCCTTTTATCTAACTTTACAAGATCAACCAGCAATGTTGTTGCTAATAATGAAGCTGTTCTACAACCTCAAAGTAATAAAAACGAGTCTAACTATATTTTAATTGATCTTGATATTATTGTACAAATTATTACCTTAGTTGGAACATGCCCTGACTGTGAGAGCAAGTCTATCAACTTAAATATAGATCATGAAAATAAAAAAGGTTTAAGTTCATTGTTGATATTGAACTGCAGTGAGTGTTTATGGAAAACAAAATTCTATACCAGTAAAAAAGTTTCAAGTAAAACTTTTGAAAAATCTTTTGATATAAATTTACGTTCTGTAATTGCAATGCGTGAAGTTGGAAAAGGACACAGTGCATTAGAAAAATTATGTGGTTTTTTAAACTTACCACCTCCACTTCAAAAAACTAATTTTAATGATATCCAAAATAAAATATTGCTGTCATATAAATATATTGCAACACAATCGATGATCAATGCAGCTCTTGAGTTTACATTAAGAGATGATACTGGGATTTCAGATATTACTGTTTCTTGTGATGGTACATGGCAGAAACGAGGACATAACTCTTTAAATGGTATAGTAACTGTTGTTGCGGTTGATACAGGCAAATGCCTTGACTATCGTTTTCACAAAAAAATGTAAAGCTTGTGAACTCTGGAAGGATAAGTTTAACTCTGATGAGTATGAAGAGTTTTTGCAAAAACATAACAATAACTGCTGTCTCAATCATATTGGATCTGCTGGATCTATGGAAGCAGCAGGACTTGTTGAGTGTTTTAATGCTTCTGTTTTAGAAAGAAAATTAAGATATATAAATTATCTTGGAGACGGTGACTCTAAAGCATTTTCAGATGTTCAAAAACAGAATCCATATGATGGAAAAGAAATAACCAAGCTTGAATGTGTAAGTCATATTCAAAAACGAGTTGGATCAAGACTAAGAAAGTTAAAAACAACTAATAAAAGCTTATTAAGTGATGGTAAAAAATTAGGGGGAGTTGGTCGTCTAACAGACAAAAAAATTAACAAGTTACAAAATTATTTTGGAATTGCGATTCGTCAATTCTGTGGTAAATCTGTATATGAACTAAAAAAGGCTATTGGAGCTGTATTATTTCATTGCTCTGAGGTTTCATCATTTGATGTAAGACATGCAATGTGTCCTCGAACTATTGATACTTGGTGCAAATATCAAGCAGACAAAATAAATAAAACAAACGTTTATAAAGAAAAACCAGGTCTGCCTACTGTTATTAGGGACATAATTAAACCAATATTTATTGACTTATCTGATGAAAACCTGTTAAAAAGGTGCCTTCATGGAAAAACTCAAAACAACAATGAAGCCTTGAATGCAATAATTTGGAAACGGTGTCCAAAAGATATTTATGTGGGGCAAACTGCTTTGGAGATAAGTGCAGCATCTGCTGTTATTAATTTCAATGAAGGATTAGCTGGTATACTAAATGTTTATTTAGAGCTTGGTATGAATCCTGGTAAAAACTGTATTACATTTTGCAATCAAAGAGATAATCAAAAAATTAAAAATATAGCAAAAAAATCGACTGATAAGGTAAAGCAACGTCGGAAACAAATTAGGGCAAAACGAAAAGGTTATAGCGATCAAGATGAAGAAAGAGAAGGAATAGCTTATGGTCCTGGAAGTTTTTAGTTGTTTTCCTTTATTTCAATTAATATAACTATTTAATTTAAAATTATAAATTTGGTTGTCATAATTTTTACTTTTATATTTTTTTATTTTTATTTTATATTTTTCTTTTTTTCATTACAAGGATGTAACCTTCTATATGGTACTTAAAAAAGTAATTAAAATTAAAGATAAACTTAGTTTATTTCTTTTAATACATTGGGGAGTGATTACAAAGTATTTAGAAATATAACGAGAACTTATTTGATATTTTAACTTGTTTTTTTGATGTTAATTTTATTAAATTGCTGTTTTCTCAGATTGCCATTTTTTAGCACGGGGCGATAAATAACTTGGGAACCACTTGTTATGGTGCTTTAAAATTTTATACAGTTGTAATAACATATATGATGAGCTCATTGAAGCAGTATATTTTTTTAATATTATTTTTTTGCAGAGTTATGGGCTCCTAAAGAGGGCTGTTTTGGGGTAAATTTTGACCCACTAGTTATATATGCTGTATCTCCTTATTGATTTAAGCTAACTTTAGAATTTTGCTTCCATGAGTTTATTAATATATTATAAGTAAACACTGAAAGTTTGAGTTTTATAGCATCTACCATTGTCTCATTATTTATCGCAGCGTCTTTTGACTTTTTTAGGTTTCGCGACCTAAAACTTGGGTCCAAATGTAAAATTAAATTTTTTTTTTTGTTACTTCATTATTTATGCAATTTTTTAATACTATCCAAAAAAGTCAATAGTCTTTGTTCAAAATTAAAGATTTTAGAATTCTGAGGATACTACCACCTTAAAGGAAAATTGTAAATTTTAAAGATAGGAAGTATTTTCTATACCAAATTCCTACCGCCCACCAAAAAATCACCAGGTTGACAACCACTGTACTCTCCGAACCATTGTTTACTTAATTGTTTTTTGAACTTTGAAAATTTTAAATTTTCAATCAAATCTAATCAAATTTTTTGAAAATTTAAAGACGAAAAGCATGTGCTTTGATTTTTTATATTTTTTTCTTTACTTTTTGATTTGTTTTGTTTTAGGAACAACGTGAACGCGAAAAGCAAGATTTAGAATACGCTAAAGAAATCGCTGAAGATGACGAGTTTCCGTAGTTTTTATTATTAGTTCTCTTAATCATCGAGTTTAGAATTGTAATGAAATTTTCTGGTTATAAATTTAACTCCGGTTTTCTTTTTTTTATTTCGTGTTCATATTGTGAGAATTTAAAGTACCATCTATTTTGATCAGCACTATGATTTTTAGAAATATTCAGAAATAAATTATTAATCGCAATTTAACGCGTCAGCAATTATGATGTTAAAACAAATACCAGGTATACCGGTATGAAATGAGCGTTTTTTGTGAAAATAATACACTAATTATTAATGGGAAAGTATAAAACATTTTATTCAAAGTATTGGCCATTGTTTTCTACACATTTTGACCACCTTTCTGGCAATTTGTGGATACCACGCCAATAAAATTGTTCGTTTTTTAAAGCAAACCAACCAGACACCCAATTTTCGACCTCCTCGTAGGAATCAAAGTGCTGCTCAGCCAATGCGTGTCCCATCGATGAAAACAATTGGTAGTCGGAAGGAGCCAAGTCTGGTGAATACGGCGGGTGGGGTAGCAGCTCCCAGCCAAGTGTTTTGATTGTATCCTAAACCGGTTTTGCTTTGTGTGCAGGTGCATTGTCATGGAGCAAAATTACCTTGCCGTGTCTTCTGGCCCATTCTGGTCGTTTCTCGATCAATGCATGGTTCAAATTGATCATTTGTTGTCGGTAGCGATCAGTATTGACGGTTTCACCAGGTTTTAGGAGCTCATGGAACACCACACCTTTCTGATCCCACCAAACACACAGCATTGTCTTCTTGCCGAATCGATCTGGTTTTGCAGTCGATGTTGATGGTTGTCCCGGATTAACCCATGATTTTTTCCGTTTAGGATTCTTAAAATAAATCCATTTTTCATCGCCAGTAACAATCCGATGCAAAACCGATTTTCTTTCGTGTCTTCGGAGCAAAATTTCACAAGTGTTTTTTCGGTTTTCCATCTGTCTTTCATTCAATTCATGTGGCACCCATTTTCCACACTTTTGGATCTTTCCCATAGCTTCTAAACGGTCATAAATTGTTTGTTGTGCAACATTTAACATTTCTGCCATTTGCTTTTGACTCAAAGTGTCATCTCCATCCAATATCGTTTGCAATTCGGCGTCTTTAAACTTTTTTGGTGGTCTTCCACGTTCTTCATTTCTCACATCAAAATCATTATTTCTGAACCGTTGAAACCATCTTTTGCATGTTGCTTCTGATAGAGCATGATCACCATATGCCTCGATAAGCATTCGATGCGACTCTGCAGCACTTTTCTTCAAATGAAAACAAAAAATTAATGCTTTCCGCAAATCATCACTTTCCGGTACAAAATTCGACATTTTTAACACGATGAAAAAATATGATGTTGTCTGTTCAATGACTTGATGTATACTAAATATGTTTCACAGATGTCATAGCAAACAAACAAAAATAAATAAAGGCTCGTTCACAACAAATGTTCCCTATCGAGACATTTGTATCTTGACGCTCACTTCATACCGGTATACCTGGTAAACATTAAGTCGGCCTTAGCAGCAATTATGCCGTTAAAAGAATTTTGTAAGTATAAGTAATAGTAATGCTTAATCTAAGAGCAAAAGATTTTCTTTATAGAATGTATATAAAGAATCTCAACTTTCTATTTTCTTCTATTATAAAAAGTACATTTTTTGATCTACAAAAAAACATTTTTAAACGGACAACATCGGTGCAAAAAATGACCGCCTTATTGAGATTTTGCAGAACTTTATTATTTAAATTTGACTTTTTTGTATTCTTTTTTTACGACAACTGAAAATAAAAGACAATATTTGTACTCGTAGAAAAGCATCTATACGCGTAAAAAAGCACTTGTACACAAAAAAATATACAAGTTTTTATTAAAATATGCTTTAACTGATAATTGTATATTCTTCATTGAAGATTCTCAGTACTTACTGTAAACAAATTTAAAGTTATAAACAACATATCATGGCTATCATTATAAAAGACAGAGCATTGCTTCATTTTGTCAAGCAATGCAATCATCTCTTGTAAACCCATGCTTGTTCCTACTCTTCGTTGCGTCCTTCATCATCATAAATCTATGCGTCTTGACTTGTAACTTTAAAGTTCATTATTTCTGCTACTTTTGTAGTACGCATTCTTGTTTAAATATATCTGTCATTCAAATAGTGTTCTCTTTATCTTGTCCATTACCAACAAATTATTGTTTTGATAAAAGCGCGATTGAAACTTTAAAAGACTTTAATCGATTTTTCACTTTTGAAGTAATCCGTATTTCAGATATTACTTGATTGTGTTCAAATGCAAGATTTTGTTTACATGAAATATTTATATTAAGAAGTTAGTATGTATAAGAAAATGGCACTACGAATAACTAAAAACGAAGAGCCATAAAACTTCTATCAATTTCTGGCAAATAGAGCGTCATATTTTTAATATCTTTTTTTCCTTTTCTTTTGAAAACAAAGTACTATTTTTTGTCTGAATAAACAGTTTTAGGAAACAGTAGAGTCTGCAAATATCTCCTCTCTTAATGATTGTTTAGAAAAATTTATCTTCATATTTTGTTTTAAATAAAACATTAAAAGAATGATGGAGGAGTATTTTAATTGCTTTACTTGAGTAAAAAACACTTTGGTAAAGTTGATACTTTTAGCTGCAGCCTGAATATTAAAAAATCAACATCTTCTATCTGCAGGATTTTAAAAAGTTTCTGGCACCAAATAAACTGTAGTATTTTTATCCAACTCGAGACCACTCTTTTTTAATTTTTGGTCAATGCTGTAATGCACCGCATCCAATTTTTAAAAACAAGCTAAACAGCTTGCAAAAAATCTTTGAGTGAGACTCCACATCTGGGTGTGTATTAAAAATACTTTATTGCAGTGCTCATAACTCTGTTTTTATTTGACGGAACGCAAGAATCAGACCATAAAATGAGATTCTTAAGCTGTAGATGCAAACACAAGGTAAACACAGACTTTAAGGAAAACAGGAAACAGTCTTATCCAGGTGTCATGTTATAAACAGACAGCTTCCTCAGATAAAAGAAGTTTGAGATCACAGCTTTGGAGAGTATTAAAACATTTTGTAAATCAAAACAAAGAATAGATTTTCTGGATTCTCTATTTTTTTTTACGCTCTTATCTCCTTTTGTTAAGCCCAGTCACAATAACTTATATTACCTTCAGCATTTTTAGTCTTAAAAATTTACATTTATCACACCTATCTTTTTTTCTTTGTTGCAAAGAAATATTAAACTCATTTAGAAAAACGTCAGAATGTAAAGGCTTGTTAGCTGGTTGAAGTCCTTTTTTCTGGCTGTGTTCTTGGTGGAGTTCAAAAGGACGGGTAATAAAAAATTCAGATTCAAAGTATTTGCTCTCTGTATTGGCACGGCAAAAGTATAAGTCTATTACTGGAATACTGTTAATATTTTTTCTGATGCTATATCTGAATGCATCAGGAATTTTCTGCACTTGAGAAAAGAAAAAAGTATTTAAAAACAAGATATAAAACCAAGTGTTATGTCATATATAGCGCAAATATTTCTTATTATTGCTAAAAAAATACTTTATCAGATCCATTGCTGAAACTGAATTATTTGAAAATCTTCAATGTTGAATATTTTCTTTTAGCAGTTTGCATAATATACATTTATTTGAGGATCATTAAAGGACCAATTAAAACTATAACCGTTGCAATGGCGGTTGTTAGGGACGCGTAAAATAAAATTCTTAATTTTCTTGAGAAATATACAAAATTATAAAAAATTTTGTATATTTTGTAAAGTCTTCAGATTATAGTTTTCTAATCAATCCTAAATAAAAAAAGATTTTTTTTTTTTTGAAAAAGTCGACATTTCTGAGAGGTACTCCACTTTAATTACAAAAGTAATGCGGAACTTTTTGCCTTGCCGAAAAATGAATTAAAAGGAGGTAAAAACTAAACTACTATAAAATTTTCAAGTCTCAAAATCTTAAATCTGAATTCCGAGAGAAAAAAATATTTTCTAATTTTTTCTTTTTTGCTCAACAACCTTGTTCTATGTTTTGATCAAGATATGAATTCAAGCAACTCGTAGAGGTCACTTCCTCAGTTCCAGGAATTAGCCTAATTCTTACAAAAAATTACTCTTTAACTACTTTTAAACTTATAAAAAAAAAACTTCAAAATTTGAGGACTACAACTTAGTCCTAACATATCAAAATAATTTAAATCAGCATTTCTTTTTTTATAACAAATATTTTTTTTAATGCAGATGTATTTTTTATGTATTTAATGCAGATATATTATGTATATTATTCTGTATTTAATATACAATATTATTATGTATTTAATGCAGATGTATTTTATGCATATGCTTTAGAAGTAATTGGAATGGAAAGTCAAACAGTTTCAGATTCACAGATTTCTTTAAGGTTCAGTGGTGATAAAACACAAGCACTTACCATAATATTGGATTCTTCTAGTCTTAGGTCGTATACATGAAAATTTTTGAATCAATTTATTTAAAAGCTGTTTAAAACACAATTAAAAAAAAATTTATTCACTTTAACAGTCAATTATGCATTCTATAAATTTTTGAAAAGAAGCAACATACCCAGCACAAATCAAAGTTACTCATTGTTTCTATTGCGTGTTTAAAATATTCTAAAACAAAAAGAACAACGCGTATCAAGAAGGTTTCTATTTCGTGAAATTAACTAATACTATTTACCAAAATACTAGTTAAGATATTAATGGTTTCACCATTGCAGAAGCGTAGTATAATATTATAGTAAACTTCAGTAACAAATTTGAAACCAGTGTCAAAAGCACACAACATTTAAACTTGAAATCAAAACTTCATAAAATACGTGTTAAAAACCTTTTTTATCAGAATTTTATACAAAAAACAACATGTAAATTAAAAAGTTAAAAGTATAAGAACAATAAATAAAATAAGTAGGAATAAACTTCAATAAACGTAACCATGTAAGTAAACAATAAATAAATAGACCAAAATATATTTTTATCTTTAACTACTAATAATAACTCAATATATTATGTTATGAAAGAATTAGGTTTATAGTTTATTTTTAAAAAGGC